GCAGCTCGTCCAGGTACGCCGTCTCCTCCTCCTCCCCGCCGCTCGCCTCCGGGACGCACACGCACCCCTCCTCCTGCTGCTCATCCGAGCTCGCCTCCTCAGGCTGGCCCATGCTCTCTGCGGGGATGAAGGGGTGAGGAGGTGGTGACTCCCCCCTAGACTGTCCCTTGCACGCCCCAGAACCCAGATGTGGCAGGTATCCGCCCCCACCCACCCTCGGACAATCGGCAGCTGGAGTCAGAGATCCTGAGATCAGAAACTGGTGCCCAGTGGAGGAGCCCCCTGGGGACCTCCCTGGGGACCAGGGCCACAGGCCAGCATCAAGTACAAAGAGCCGCCTCAGAGGCCTCAGTTTCCCCTGCAGAGCCAGTACACCCCATACCTGCGCAGATGACAGCAACTGATATGATTAACAGGATTGCCTCACGTTTCACTTTCACATATGAACTTCTTTAATCCTTCCAACCACCCTCTGAGAGCCCTGCTCCTGTCACCTCCTCAGGGAAGCCCTCTTGGATTTACCCCCTCATATATCCTCTCACCCCCAGAGTTCCAATCCTTCCCAGGTTTTGTCCTAGTGTGCGATGGTTTATAAAACACCTTAGACTGAGGACATGAGGGCAGGAACAAGGTCTGGGAAACTCACTGCTTCATCCCCAGTGCCTGGCATCTGGCACACTGTCAGCAGCTAATGTTTATTGGGCACTTAGCAAGTAAGTATAGGCCCTTTTTGAGCATTTTAAGTTCATTTACTCTTTTTTAAATATATATATTTTTTATTGATTTCAGAGAGGAAGGGAGAGGGAGAGAGAGTTAGAAACCTCAATGATGAGAGAGAATCGTGGATCAGCTGCATGCTGCACGCCCCCTACTGGGGATCGAGCCTGCAACCCAGACATGTGCCCTTGACCAGAATCCAATCCAGGACCCTTTAGTCCGCAGGCTGACGCTCTATCCACTGAGCTAAACCGGCCAGGGCCATTTACTCTTTATAGCCCCAAGCATCTCTGAGGTTTTTTCCTATTGTTGTCCCGGATTCATTGATGAGGAACCTCGGGCACAGAGAAGTGAAACAGCGGAGGACCACACTGTGGTTGGAGCCTGGATTTGAAGCCAGGCAGCCTGGCCCCAGAGCCACCTTTCACCATCACACATCAAAAACATAATTCATTGAATTAGGAGGCACTATCTTGATTTTGATTCTGTAGGTGAAATTGCTCAGGCTCAGAGATGTGAAGTAACTTGCCAACGGTCACCCAGCTAGTATTAGGGAGGGGACATTGGAATCCGAGGCCCGAGGGGAAGGGGACAGGAATCTTTGAATTGGGAATGGGGGCAGGGAGGCTCATTAAAAGAGATCATGTGAGTGTGAGTGTGTGTGTGTCAAACAGGGAGATGTAATAAGTGTTTGGGATAGGAAGGTTTTTCTCACTCCTGGCCCTCAGTTTTCTCATCTATAAAATGGGGATGCCAGACCATTCAGACAGTGTTGATGTTCAAGCCCCCTGAGGAGAGGCAAGGTCATTATCGGTGGACAGATATCGGGAGCTTCAAGCTGGACTATCTCTGGGATCCCAGCCGGCCCCAGCCAGGCCATTGAAGCCTTGAGTAAGCAGATACCAAGTGCCCGGTGTCCCTGGAGGAGGGAGAGACAGTGGGGAGGAAATGGGGCCACTCTGGGTGATGGGGGAGCACGGCTTTCCGACTTAGGATGGGGGGTTCCTAAGGGCTGAACCCTGAAAAGCTAAGGTGCCATGCACTGGGGGAGGGAACAGGCAGGGCCTTGGACCCGAGACTGGGTGTTGCCCAGCCTACCAGCCCTCTACCTCCTCACATGCAGAATTTTCCCCATCCCCACAGTTTGATAACTGAATCAGGGTTTACCTCTTCAGAGCTCAGAGCACACAGTGAGTCCTCCGTAGATCCTATTTAGTGAATCTTATTATTCCCTTCATTATTAGGGGGGGTTTTTGTTTGTTTTTTTGCCACGTCTTTATGACATGGGGCTTTACCGCCTTCCGTTTGGCGAAGAGGAAAACTAAGGCCCAGAGACA